GTGCTCAAGACTAGTTATTTTACTGTGGCTTCTCCATGACTGTGTTCTTAATTTTGAATGATCTTTTAATTCCCCTCTTTCACACATACGTTGTCCTACTTCCTCCCTCCACCAGTTTAAAGAGGTACTTCATATTTGAGAAGGCCTGGGGCTTTTATACTTAACCAGATCTTGGCTGAGTAGTTTTTTAATCTCTTTTGCTTTAGTTCGGAACTTAGTACACATTGCTTTGTTGTCTTCTGGCATTCATTGTTGCCTCGAAGTCAGAGAAGAGTCCGATCATTTCCTCTTCCTCCCTTCTCTTCCTCCTCCCCCACCGTAGCATTCTGCCGTTGGCCTCCAAAATTTATGTCCTTCTCACATGAAGAATACATTCATTCCGTGCCAGTAACCCAAAACTCTTAACTTGTTCCATCACCAACTAAGAAGTCTAAAGTCCAGAGTTTGACCTAATATCGTTTAAATCAGATGTGGATGAGACTCATAGTGTGAGTCATCGTGAGGCCAGTTGCTCTCAAACTGTGAGCCTGTGAAATGAAACAGGTTATGTGCATTCAAAACACAGTGGTGGGACAGGCATAGCATAGACATTTCCATTCCAAAAGGGGAAAATAGGAAGAAAGGAATGATAGATAAATCCCAAGCCACTCGAAAACCAACAAGGCAAACAGCATTAAATCTTAAGGCTCAAGAGTAATCTTTGATTCCATGTCGTGCCTCTGGACACCCTGGGGTAGAACTTGTATTGCTATAAAGGAATACCTGAGATTGAGTAATTTATAAATAAAAGAGGTTTTATTTTGTCTTATGGTTCTGCAGGCTGTACAGGAAGCATGGTGCTGCCATCTGCTTCTGGTATGGGCCTCAGGAAACTCACAATCATGGTAGAAGTCAGCAGGGAACCAGCAAGTCACATGGAAGAGCAGGCACAGAAGAGAGGAAGAAGGTGCCACATACTCTTTAACAAGCAGATTGCATGTGAACTCACTCATCACCAAGGGCATGATGCTGAGCTATTCATTGAGGGATGCACCCTAGTGATCGAAACACCTCCCACCAGGCCCCATCTCCAACAGTGGGGATTACATTTTACTGTGAGATTTAGAGGCCACAAATAGCCAAACCATATCCAGCCTCAAAGTTCTGGGGGACACTGCCCCTATATTTTTGCAGGGCACAGACCATGCTACAGCTCTTACAGGTTGGAGTCTCATGTCTCTCCAAGGCTGGAGTTGCACACTGGTGGGCCCTACCCTTCCAGGTTTCAGGGACAGCCCCAATCCATGTTATGTCTGAGCATTGCCCTAGTGGAGGCTTTCTGTGGTGATTCTGCCTTCACACCTGTACTTCGGACTACTCTATGGGGGCTCTCTGCAGTGGCTCTGTCCCATGACAGCTCTCAGCCTGGATACTCAGGCTTTTCTGGTATCTTTTGAAATGTAGGTGGAGGCAGCCACACTATCATATCTCATGCACTTTGCACACCTGTGGAGATGGCACTCTGCAAACACCATGCCAGGGTTTATCACCTTTGCCTTCTAGAAGGGTGATCTGAGTTGCACCTGAGCCTACTTGAGCAACAGCTGGGGTAACCAAGGAGCACTGCACCAGAATTTAGGGAATAGAGCCTTAAAATTGTCCTGCCACAAGGCCCTGGGGTTCTGGGTCTGTGATGGACAGGGCAGCTCTGAAATACCTTACTGGTCATTCTCCCGTTGTCTCAATGAATAGCATGTGGCTTCCTTCCATCCACATGAATCTCCTTAACAGATGTTTGTACCATGCCTTTGGTTTCTCTCCTGAACAAGCTGTATCATTCTTTACATGGCTAGGCTGGGAATTTTCCAAATCTTTAAATTCTGCTTCCCTTGTGATTATAGATTTCATCTTTTATTTGTTTCTATCTTCTCAGCTTTTACTATAAGTTGAGAAGCCACAAAGCACCCTCAAGACTTTCCTTGGATATTTTTTCCACTAAATATCCTGTTTCATCACTCTCAGACTACTTCTACAGAACACTAGGACACAAGCACAATCCAGCCAGGTTCTTTACCACCTTATTACAAGATCACCTTTTCTTCTGTTTCTAGTAACATATTTCTCATTTTTTTCTGAGACCTCATTAGGTTGGCCTTTACCATCGAACATTTTGACTGTGACCATTAACATGATCTCTAAGAAGATTGAAGCTTTCTCAGCAGTTCTCCTCTTTTGAGCCCTCACCACTCTTAATGCTCCTTCCACAGCAATGTAGGCTTTTTCTAGCGTGCACGTCCATATTCTTCCAGCCTCTACCCATTACCCAATTGCAAAGTTACTTCCACATTTTTAGGTGTTTGTTACAGCAGCACCATGCTACTGGTGCCAGCTTCTGTTTTATTATGTTCAGGCCCCTATAACAAAATTCTCAGACTGGATAATTTATAAACAAATTTATTGTTCACATTTCTAGAGACTGGGAAGTCTAAAACCAAGGTATCAGCAGATTCAGGGTCTGGTAAGGGCCTGTTTCTCATAGATGGTACCTTCCAGCTGTAGCATCACAGAAGGGGCAAACAGGCTTCCTTAAACCTCTCTTATAATGGTAGTAATCCTATTAATGAGGGTAGAGCCTTCATGACCTAATTATCTCCCAAGGCCGCTCCTCTGAAAACCGTCACCTTAGGAGTTTTAACATAGGAAGTTTGAGAAGGACATTCAGATTAGAGTGAGCACTAAATCATAAGGGTTCCACCCTTACGCTGAAATTACCTGACATAGGACCCACCCCCTAATAACTATCACAGTGGGATTAGGATTTCAACATAGGAATTTAGAGGGCAACACAAACGTTCGGTCTGTAACACCAAGTTATTCAGGTTGAAATTCTAAACTTGAAGAATGTAATCAATTTGAACATTGTAGTATTGAAAAAATGTTAAAACCACAACGTTTTGATTTTATAGTTAGCCTGTCTCATCTAAGAATCCCAGAACTTTTTCTCTCCTGTATTTTACATCTGCCTCACAGCTTTAAAAGAGAAATTAGAACCCAAACCGGTGAACTTCTTTTACTTCTGAAAGACCTGTACAAGCTTCACTTTTAAAATATGGTGATATGTTAAAATGTTCTGCCACATTTTAGATACAAAGTATAGTAAAATAAAGTAAGATATATTCTCTTTCATGCTTTTGCAGTATATAGAAAAATGATTATAATTTTCTTGTATGCTTTCTGTGGGCTTTTTGATTGAAAACATTGGTATTGTAGGTTGTAGGTATGTTAAGAACTCCTCAGATACCTTTCTGGTAATGATTAACATTGTTCTTTTCTTTTTTTTTTTTTTTTTTGAGACGGAGTTTCGCTCTTGTCACCCAGGCTGAAGTGCAGTGGCGCAATGTCGGCTAACTGCAGTCTCTGCCTCCTGTGCTCAAGCGATTCTTCTGCCTCAGCCTCCCTAGCAGCTGGGATCATAGGTACCTGCCACCACACCTAGCTAATTTTTTGTATTTTTGATAGAGAGGGGGTTTCGCCATGTTGGTCAGGCTGGTCTCAAACTCTTGACCTCAGGTGATCCACCCACCTCAGCCTCCCAAAGTGCTGGGATTACAGGCATGAGCCACTGCGCCCAGCCGATTTAGGTTGTTCTTTAAGCACTAGTTTGAATTCTGTTAGCTATGTAACAGTTAACTTTCCTGTTTACAGTTCATATGAATCATCTCAGGACCTGAACTAAAACTGTGTTGTTTAATGAGGCTGCTTGAAATTTCAATTGATTTATTTTTAGCTTTATTTGTAGATTATGTGTACTATATCTGTAACCTGTTTTTAGTCTGTAAGAAGATTTTGTGTAACTCTCTCACATGGGCGCTCTCTCTCTCTCTCTCTCTCTCTCTCTCACACACACACACACACACACACACCCCCCTCTCGGTAAACTATGTTTAGACCATGCTTGGGTTGAACTACTGTGAAAGTAATGAATTTGGTTACCCTACTTCTACCACATACTTATACGCAAAGGGCACATAACCATTGTCTCTAGTGCTCCATTCCTAGCATATACCACTTAGTCTGTTTTATCCTATGATAGCAGAATACCTGAGACTGGGTAAGTTGTAATGAACAGAAGTTTAATGGCTCATATTCTAGAGGCTGGGAAATCCAATATCAAGGTGCTGGCATCCAAGGGCTTCTTGTTGCATCGTCACCTGGCAGAAGAAGAGAGAAGAGGGGACGAAAGAACAAGAGGGAGCTGCACTCACACATGAGGGTGGAGCCTCATGGCCTTATCACCTCTTCTTAAAGGTCCCAACTCTTAATACTATTACAATGGCAATTAAATTTCAACATGAGTTTTAGAGGGGACAAGCATTCAAGCTATAGCATTCTGCCTGCAGGCCCCCACATCTCATGTCCTTCTCATAAACAAAATAATTCATCTAAATAGCCCCACAAGTCTTCTAACAGCTTGAACTTAAAAGTCCAGAGTGTCATCTAAATTAAATGTGAGACTAGTCTTTTTTAAGTGAATATTTTCACTTTTTGCTTTTATGCTCTAAAATTTTCTTTCTTATCTAGTGACTATGTAAATTGTCATTAATTTTCAAGTGAAATTCTTAAATTTGGGGGCACTTTGATTTGATTTTTGATTTTTTAATTTACTACTTAAGCAGAATTTCTTATTGCTAATTATCATATTTAAACTGAACTTATTGTTACGAACTTACTGAAGAAATGGCTTTCCTCCTTTCTTTCAAACATGAGATTTCTTCTAGATTTTGCCTAATAGAAACTTAATATTAGGGTAAATAATCTTATCTTTTGTTTGCAATGTTGAATAAGAGCCAATGGATGTTTTAATTTTTCAAATGATATTTTCACCCAAAAATTTAAGCATGAAAAGAATGAAAATATAAATGAATATTTATAAATGCCTCACGTAGTTCTGATTTTAATTTGTTTTTAATTTCCTTTTTAGCTACTCCCTAATGGTAAAGCACTGTTGATTTGTTTTGCAGAATCCTTGCAGCCTTTCTTGGAAGCCTGTAGCAACTCTTCATTTTTTCGTACTTGCTCTGTGCTGCTTCGAGCCCCTAAGCTTGATCTTCAAATACTTGAAAAACTCAGTATTATTTTACAGAAACTTTCCAAAATCAAGTAAGAATTTCTTATTTCTAACATTTTTATTGAAAAATAGCTTATTGTGATCATTTAGACCAGGGGTGTCCAATCTTTTGGCTTCCCTGGGCCACAGTGGAAGAAGAATTATCTTGGACCACACATAAAATACACTAACAATCACTGATGTGCTCGTTAAATAAATAAAATCTCATAGCGTTTTAAGAAAATTTACAAATTTGTGTTGAGCCGCATTCAGAACCATCCTGGGCCAAATGAAGCTGACAGGCTGCAGGTTGGACAAGCTTGGTTTAGACCTTTCTAAATCCCATGCTACATAAACTTTGATCATTAAATAAAAATTTCCATTATACAGATGTAGAAAACTAAAATTCACAAATATTAATGCTGATCTAAGACCACATATTTAGTGACAGGCTAGAATTAGAGTACTAATCACAGAACATCTAGTTGTTTCTATAGCTCATTTCAGATTAATGAACTTTAAATACTTCACATAAAAGTAAGATCAGTTTTTAGCAACCAAATAATAATATCCAAATAAATTCTTGTATGCTAGTATTCTGTAATACCACAGGTGAAAATAAAAAGATAACAAAAGTATATTTTGCAAATTCTTATTGATGTACCAAAGTGGATTTAGGGAATGAGAATTAAGCAAGCAGAACAGATTTTAAATTACTTTAGTAACAGGGTTTATTTTAGTAAACTCTTACGGGCTGCCTACTGCCACTAATTTGGATTTTATTATGAAAATCAAGGGGTTTGTGTTTCCTCTTCTTTCTCCTGACTCAGAAATTTGTATAACCAGTTACTAAACTATAAATAAGGACACAGATTTTAAGCTGTATTTTCCTTGATTCTTGGTATACTCTAATGTTTCCTTTGAGGCAAATCTGGAAACCTTCTATCTCAAGTCATTTTTATAACAGTAACATTTTTATTTTTATTTAGGTTGAACTATTCTCCCTCTGGCCTCATCCCTCATCCATGATTCCCATGGTAGAGAATTTAGATATTTTCAGGTGTCCATATACTCGAGTAGTAAATACAGTGCAGCTTGAAATTAATTGTATAATTTATATAATAGTGATTAAGAGATCCACATGTTCTGTTTGGTAACATGCTTAGTAGTGCATCGTAATAAATTATTGTCAAATTATAACCTTATTCTCAACTGACCAAATTATTAGCTTTGGTCTGGTATCTGCTGAATTTATCAATTTACTGTCTTCCTTTTCTTGCCGACTGTACTATGATTCTCTTGATTTATGATCAGTAAATTCCTAGTAAGGCCTGTTGCAGTTACCCATGGTGCCATGAAGCAGCAATAATCTTACTTAGATTTAATTCTTTTTTAGTTCCTAATTCATGGGATTTTTAAAAAAGTGGTCCTAAAGTGCAAGTATATTCTTGGTCCAAAATGTTTTACTATTCGTGATGTGTTTGCAGCTTAGGTTCATTTTTGACTTAAATAAAAAACTAGAACAAAGCTTGAACAAGAAGATTGGGAATAGTTGATGCTCAAGCAAGACTTAAAATAAATCTTTAAGACCACAAAAGATGTAAATCCTTTTATATTAGGATAGCACATAAGGTTATTTGACAAATTCTCTCGAGAGGTAAAAATAGCTAGACAAGGAAATAAGAAACATAAAGTATAATTCTTAATGATTGAAATGAAATTACTGACCGGTTATTAGAAAGAGGATGATTGAACAAGTGTTTTATAGCCAAGTCAAAAGGTAAACCAATATTCTGCCAGTTTACAAAGGCCTGCTTACATAAAATAGGATGATCAAATGTTCGTCTGTCTTGCTAGCTGTGAAAAAAAAAATTCTCAGGCTCTCTAATAGTGAATATGGTGCAGTTTTCAGGGTTATAAAATGTTTCCAGGGTGGGCGTGGTGGCTCATGTCTGTAGTCTCAGCACTTTGGGAGGCCAAGGAAGGAGGATCGCCTGAGCCCAGAAGTTCAAGACCAGTCTTAGCAACATAGTGACACCCTGTCTCTACAAAAAACAGAATTAGCCAGGTTTGATGGTGTGCACCTGTAGTCCTAGCTACTCGGGAGGCTGAGGTGGGAGGATTTTTTGAGCTGGGGAGGTTGAGGCTGCAGTAAGCTGTGTCCACACCACTGCACTCCACCGGGGTGCTAGAACAACACCTTGTCTCAAAAGAAAAAAAAGTTTCCTTTTTTCCCCAATGCTTTTCTGCTTCAGTTTATCTCATAAACCCATTTTGTTTGTTTCAGCATTCTAATCTTTTAGTCGCCTATTTTCTCCACTGTTTTTAAAAACAGATGCCATTTCCTAATGTTTACACGTAAATTGTCTTTCAGTGTCATTGCAGATGAACTCCCTAAATATGTGTAATTAAATAATACATTCATTTGTTTACAGGAGTAATAAGAAGCTCTTTGAACTTTTTACGATTCATCTGATGCTTCAAGAAATACAAAGGACAACAAACCCAGAGCATGCCTTTCTCTGTATTAATCTAAATTCAACTCTGTTCAATTTGGGTTTAACAAAATGTAACTCCCTGGTCTCCAGTGCAAGCCATTAGACTGGCGTATTTTTTTAATATAGTAGATGTGGTGCTTATTTATAAACATGTAAAAATTACCAAAGTAACAACAATTCTACCAAGTAAAGTTATCAGTAGCATCATTCATCATGAAAAATAAATGATTTTTTTGAATTTTACAAATGAAATCTGTAGAAGGTATTGGAACTTTTGGAATGCTTCAGTTCAAGTAAGGTAGTACTAATGTACAAGATGGCATTTCTAGAATGTATGACACTGATGTTACTTTTTGTAAAATTATATTAGGAAAATTCTTAAAATTATGTGATGATTTGGAATAAATTTGTGCTTATGTGAGAACAAGGTTAAATAATACTGTTTTTCCATTTTCTTAATATATTAGAATCCTTCCTTTTGGAAGCAGAAGTATGTATCTTTATCATCTTGAGAGCATAACTTTTCTATATACTATATTTTAGATTAACAGATACTGACTTTTTAAATTGTGCTTTTTGTGGGATAAAAAATTATTTTTTATTTGTGCTGTTCACAGGATTAAAAACTTTTTTTTTTTTCAAAATAATTATTACTGGAGCATGTATATACAATACAAGACATTCTTTAAGTATTTAAAGGTAAACAAAAGATATTCCTGTTACCAGAAATACCTCTTGATTTAGCCAAAGATGAGTAAAGTGGCCAGAGATCTGGGTGAGTGAAGGTGGTGAGACTTGGGACTTAGCACAGGATACTGAGGAACATTGTTTTAAAGAGCCATGAAATCATATATGATCAGTTTATAAGCTCGGTTTCAGGATTTAGAAGAAATTTTCAAAAAAGTATTAGGCCTCTTTAAAAAAATATAAGAAAATGTGCCATTTTTGAAGTAGAAACAAAGTCATAAGGAAAGAACAGGCCGAGGTGAGTATGGTGGTACCCACAGAAACTTAAAAATGCAGAAGGCCAGGCACGATGGCTCATTTCTGTAATCCTAGCTCTTTGGGATGCCAAGGTGGACGGATCACCTAAGTTCAGGAGTTCAAGACTAGTCTAGCCAATGTGGTGAAACCCCATCTCTACTAAAAATACAAAATTAGCTGGGCATGGTGGCGGGCGCCTGTGATCCCAGCTACTTGGGTGGCTGAGGCAGGAGAATCACTTAAACCTGGGAGGCAGAGAGCCGAGATCATGCCATTGCACTCCAGCCTGGGCAACAAAGTGAGACTCCGTCTCAAAAAATAATTAAAAAATAATAATAAATGCAGAAGCCAAAGTGCACATTAGAAACAAAAAAATGACATGATTGATACTTCATAAAATAGGAGTAGCATGATGAGAAAGAACAAACGAAAAGCTCTCTCGGAACTCAGAGTACATAGAGATGCTACCAGCGAGAGTGGATGGCAGATACTAGGATAGAGCCTGGCACTTCTGTATGGTGGCATTTGGCATTTCTGAAAAAGAGAACAGAACAAGTAGAGCAGAAGCAATATTCAGAAATATAGTTGAATAAAGATTAATCAACTTAGAGATGAAAGAAAACAGTTGATTAAATCAACCTCATGACAAAAGACAGCACTGAGCACTGAAACAAATATTAATTTAAATAATTGTTACAACTCTGTTTATAAGATGGAATGAGATGCTAAAGTCCCCAAAAGGATGAATAGTGGGAAAAGCAGCCCCCCTGCTCTTCCTTTCTCAGTCATCATGATGTGTGCTGTCATCTCCATTTCTCACCATGTCTTCTCACAAGTCTTTCAGGGTCAAGCGATTTCAGGCCAAGAAACAAAAACAAAATTGTCTTATTCTCCAGTGTATTCGGATGAAAACTGGTAATAAAATCAGGTACAGTCCCAAGAGGAGACACTGGGGAAGAACCATGCTGGGTCTGTAAGGAATTGCAAATGAGATGGCACACATATTTATGCTGTATCAAGATCACTGTCATCTTACCATATCAGGCTGAAAATGTCACCAAGAGTCACATGTGTTCCATTGGGAAAATGGTTTTTCTCTTTGTTTATATCCTCTGCACTAGTAGGGTGGTTTAGTAACAAATATGTGAGACCTTTTATTTGAAAAATACTGCTTTTAAGTAATGGGAAAAGCAATATGTTAGTAGTATCGGGGTAAGATTATCTTAGCCTTTGTTAACAAAAACAGAATTGATGGGGCCTTGAGATTGTGGTAGAGATGAAAGAGGAGCTGTTAAGTACAATATTCTACATTATCAGAAAGAGTCAAGTGTTCCATTTCACTGTTAGAAAAATGTAGGATAAAGAATGCGTCTGGAAAATACCAAGGAAACTATTAAAATAAAAATAGCATAAATATTCTCAAAACACTGAAAAAGAAAAATGAAATATCTATATAGATATAGCAAAAAATAGAATGACAAGAACATGAACAAAAATATTTAGGATAAATAAGGGAAGTTTTAAAAATTATAAATATATTCTTTATGGTCATATGTTAATAAATTTGAAAATCTGAATTAGATGGACTGTTTTCTAGGAAAAGATAAAACTTGGCTTAAGAAATCTGCACTAGCAAATCATTACAGTCTTTTATTTACTTACTTTTTTGTAGAGACAGGGTTTTGCCATGTTGCCCAGGCTGGTCTTGAACTCTTGAGCTCAAGCAGTCTGTTTGCCTTGGCCTCCCAGAGTGCCGGGATTACAAGCATGAGCCAATGCACCTAGCCTACAGTCTTTTATAAAATTATCAAAGAATTCTTTTTTTAAATGGCTGCAAGTCCAGGTATTTTGCAAGTGGATTATTTTAAAATTTCAACATGAAATATTTAAAGTTATTTAAACTGTCCCAGAATGTAGAAAAATCATCCAAATTTATTTCATACAGTTAACATGAATCTAGTATCAAACAGTTGGCAAAATGAGAATAAAATAGATTCAAAAGTCTCAAAGAATTATGGAGAAAGCAATACCAACTGCATATAACAGGAACATTAATCCATGATTAAGTAGGATAACATACATTCTAGAAATACAAGATTAACTTTCTAATTGAAAAATATATTTTGGCCAGGTTAAGTTTTTAGCATATTATTATTATTTAATCCTCATAATAACTTTGTGATGGGTCTTATAATTGTTATCATTTTATAGATCAAAAAAGAAATGGGATTAGGGAGATCTAAGTGACTAAGCCACAATCATTGCTGTAACTAGAGCTCTGTTAGTTGAAGGGGAGTGAGAGGGAATTTACGATACTAGATTTTTACCCATGTTATAGTTGTGACTGGAGTCCTTGAGTTTACCTCCTTTCTTCCAACCTCCAAATTTATTGGAATAACAAAAGAAATTTTTCTAGAGTAAGCAATATGAAATGGAAAGTTTTTGTTTTCAGTAGTGTGGTGGACTATATTTATTCTCCAGGTGCAGTGCAACTCAAAAAGTCAGGAGTACATAAGCACATGGTTGATCTGGTGGCAAAGTAAAACAGTTCCTTGGAGGTCAGACTTGATAAGAAACAAATCCAAAGCAAAAGAAAATATTAAAAAAAAAAATCAATGTCATTGAAAACAGGAAGTCAACAAAACCAAAAGCTATTTCTTTGAAAAGATCAATAAGCTTCCGGTCAGGCTAATAAAACAAAACAAAACAAACAAACAAAAAAGCAAGAGAAGGTATAAAATACCAAAAATGAAAGAAGGGACATGACTGTGGGTTCCATGTTCATAGATAGGAAGACTTAATATTATCAAGATTTTTCTCCCAACTTGATCTTTAGATACAATGCAAATCCTATTCAAAATCCTAGCAAGTTATTTTGTGGGTACCAACTGACCTTTTCCCATGAATTATGAACTTTCTTAATGGCATCTAGAAGGCTAAATTCTTTCTAGGTTTTCATAGCTAGAGAGGAGATAGGGATTAGACATCAAGGCCTGGCTTTAAAGCTTCAAAAGACAGGCTGACTCTCTTGTTGGAGTTTAATAGGGTTGTGACTTTAACTTGAAGACTGTACTCGTTTACCATTCTGAAAATCCTAGGGCCCTTAAGAATATTATACTAAATCTCCCCTGCCTGTGCTCTATAAATGGAATAACAAAGCCTGGATGATGGCACATCTGTTTATAGCATCATTTCCTGAATACTTTAAGCCCACTGTTGAGACGTACTGCTCAAATAAAAAAGACTCCTCTGAAAACATTACCACTTATTAACAGTGCACCCAGTGACTAAAGAGCTCTGATGGAGATGTACAAGATTAATGTTTCCATGCCTGATAACATAACATCCATTCTGCAGCCTATGAACCAAAACATAATTTCAACTTTCAAGCCTTTTGCTTCTCCATGTAAACTTTATAATTCATGGGAGAAGGTAAAAATATCAACATTAACAGGAGTTTGGAAAAAGTTAATTCCAATCCTCATGAATGACTTTGAGGGGTTTAAGACTTCAGTGGAGGAAGTAACTGCAGATGTGGTGGAAATTGCAAATGAACTGTGAAGCCTAAGATAGCATGATCTTCCAATAGGAGGCCGTTTAAACTGCATTGAAAATCTGTTGTGTAGTGTAGCCACATCATCAGTGGTCTTACCTCAGTGTTCTGGAGAACTTGCTACAGCTTCTACACCAGCACTTGCTGCTTCATCTTGCACTTTTATGTTATGGAGATGAATTTTTCCCTAAAACCTCATGAACCAACCTCTGCTAGCTTCAAACTTTTCTTTGCAGCTTTGTCAGCCTTCGTAGAATTGAAGAGAGTTAGGGCCTTGGTTTGGATTAGGCTTTGGCTTAAAGGAATATTGTGACTCATTTGATCTACCAAGACGACTAAAACTTTCTCCTTATCAGTAATAAGGCTGTTGTGTTTTCTTATCATTTGTGTGTTCTCTGGAGTAGCACTTTAAATTTCCTTTAAGAACTTTTCCTTTGCATTCACAACTTCCTAGTTTGGTGCAAAAGGCCTAGCCTTCAACTTTTCTTGGCTTTGGACATGCTAAACCTAACCATTTCTAGCTTTTCATTTAAAGTGAGAGATGTGAGGCTTTTCCTTTCACTTGGGTACTTAGAGGCCATTTTAAGGTTATTAATTGGCCTGATTTCAGTATTGCTGTGTTTCAGGAAATGGGGAAAGATCCAAGGAGAGGGAGAGATGGGTGGGGGAAGGGGGGGATCAACCAGTCAGTGGAGTAGTCAGAACACACCCATTTATCAGTTAAGTTTGCTGACTTATATGGGTGTGGTTCTTGGCATCCTAAAACAATTACAATAGTAACATCAGAGATTGTAGGCCGAGCATGATGGCTCACTCTTGTAATCTCAGCACTTTGGGAGGCTGAGGCTAGACGATTGCTTGAGGCCAGGAGTTTGAGACCAGCATGGGCAA